GGATCGTGCAATTTTGACAGAATGTTCAAAACTCACTCGTGCTACAAATCCTTAACTGCACACGCATTGATAGGATTACCTATACTAATTTCGCGGTTATAGTCAATCAGTTAATGCGTCTTGTTTATTTACGTTTCCTTTATTTACAGACCAGGCAGTGTTATTGCTGATTTTGTGATCAATTTTCAACAAACTGCTAATGAAACCATTTTACCAACTGCGAATAAGATCTTTAATGAGAGCGTCACTAACTTCCAGAATGGATCGTTCCTGGGAGATTTGCAAGTTGATCCATCTTCTGTTGTTGTTGCAGGTAAAAAACTAAAAGCTATTTTGTATAAGGAAACACAGTTAGTGTGTCATCTTTTCATGCAAGCCAATTCCCAAATGTCTGCTCCCTGAAGAGTGAAAATTTTGCAATGCAATAAGATGGGGAGAACTTGATGAAAACTGAGAATTCGACTAATATTTCTCATTATTTAAAACTGCATCATTGGATAATGCAATTCAAGAGTTTTCATTTGCTTAACCTTCATGGTATATGAGCCATTATGCCTTGCTCTACAAATATGCGAAGCGTGTGCGTAATTTTTTTCATTGTAGTTTTCTATAGGTTGGGGTCCTTTTCAATAAAACAATTGTACCACTCGCGCTTATTGGATATGAGAAGATTATAACCAACTCGTTGGCTATATAGTACCTCATATCTAACGCGCGCTCGTGGAATCATTGTCAAATATGGACCTCATTCACGGTCAGTAGAGTCTATATGTACCGTATATTACTCGTATAAGGTTTTTAATTTTTCCTTCCCTTTGCGTAGATCGTGACGAGTGTCAAGACCCCAGCGCTAATGATTGTGATGAAAATGCCATCTGTGAAAACAATGTGGGATCATTTGAATGTTCTTGTAAGCAAGGGTTCACAGGAAATGGAAAAACATGCCAAGGTGATGAGTAAAATAAATTAGCAATTAACTTTTTATTAACTCTTTTGACCAAAAGACC